CCTCCTCCTCCTTCTCCCCCCCTCCCCCTCCTCCTCCTCCCCCTCCCCCTCCGCCTCCTCATCATCCTCATCATCATCCCATTCCCCTTCAGTGCGTGACGCCCGGCCTCTGCGTGGGCCGGATCGGGTACGACAAGTTGAAGGGATCCATCGTGACCTGCTACGCCGCACGGCGGCTTCTCCTCCATGCCCCCCCCCTTCCCGTCCAAACCACTGCGCCCTGCTCCGCCAGGGTAAAGGGGGCCCAGAGAGACAAACATGAATCGACACACATTCCAGGATTCACTATATCTATCCAGCTTGCCTGCCGTTTCCTGATTCCCGCCAGTTCCCACAGTCTCCCATATGTTAGCGTACGTCAGCGTTTATTTCTGCGTGTGCCGCACCTTCCCTCCTGATGTCTGTGCCCCCCCCCATCGCATCCACGCCGCTGCGCCCTCCATCAGAGGGGGGGCGGCTTTCGGCTCGTGACTCGGGCCTCCGGCGGCCGCTCGGAACGCTCCCGGCACCCCCGGAACGCGCTCCCAGACATGCGACGCCCTGATTTTTTCAGGACGGCGTCCCCGGAAGGCCCGACCCTTTCCCCGGGACCGGTTGCTCGTCGTGGACCCGGCGAGGGCTCCCAGGGGCTGAAAATAGCGAAAAAACCTCCGTCCTGACTTTTCAACGACGCGATCATGTCTGGGTCGGGGAGGCGCAGCGGCTGGCAGGCCTCCCAGGCAGAGAATGCCCCCAAGAACCAGCGAGAAATCCCCAGGACCTCCGACCCTCCCCCCGGCTAGGCTCCGCTGCTGCAGGTTCCAGCGGAGCCCGCCTGCGCCACTCCACTCTTGCCCTCCCCCTTCCTCCCCCTCCTCTTCCTCCTCCTCCTCCTCCTCCTCCTCCTCCTTCGTCCTCTCCCTCTTCCGCCGTGTCCTCCTCCCCCCCCCTCCTTCTCTAACTTCCCCTCCTCCTCCCCCTCCTCCTCCTCCTCCTCCTCCTCCTCCTCCTCCTCCTCCTCCTCCTCCTCGAGGGGGAGGGAGGCGTGAGGAGTGAGGAGAGCGGAGAGAGGAGGGAGGAGGGAGGAGGAGGGAGGAGGAGGGAGGAGGGAGGAGGGAGGAGGGAGGAGGGAGGAGGGAGGAGGGAGGAGGGAGGAGGAGGGGGAGGAGGGATGAGGAGGAGGAGGAGGAGGAGGAGGAGGAGGAGGAGGAGGAGGTCGAGGCCGTGGCTTTAGTATTGGTGGACCCGTTCCCTTGTCCCCTGCCCCTCGCCTGTGGTCCCTGCCCTGGCTCTGTGGGTGCTCCCAGGCTTGTGAGATAACATTGGAGGCCTAAAAATGGACACCAACACCAAAACAGGGGTTTGCCTCCACCAGGGGAAGATGATCCTAGATTTCTGTGTTGGTGTCAATATTTCGGCCATCTAGGCAGCACGAATATTACCGCCATCACCGAAACCAGGATCATCTGCCCTCGGTGGAGGCACACCGCCGATATTGGTGTTGGTGTCAACCTCCTAGGCCGCTGATAACAGCATTGGCCAGCACTGTGACCCTCCCACAGCGAACATCAGCGACTCTCTGCCAGTTCCCCTCCCCGTGGAGACGTCTGGGGGCCTGACCTGGATGGGCCCCGAGAAACTCGGTCACAAGAAGGGGGATGAGCACACATCCGCTCAGAATCGACCCTGGAACCCTCCCGGAGTCCATCCTGGTCAACGTTTTCTTATTCGGCGTTTCGACATTGGTCGGAGGAGGAGGGGGGGGGCGTCTGGCTTTGGACCTCTGCTTAGTGTGACTGTTTGTAATCGTGCGTGCTGTGGGGGAGACTGCATTTGCTTGAAATAGGCGATTCAAATAGTTAATACCTGCTCCACGGGGGGGGAAGGAGGGGGGGTGCAAGGGCCCGCGCCGATCGGCAAAAGATTGAACAAGAAAACGATCGCCTGTGACATTCTTCAGACCAGACCTGTTGTCTTCGACGGCCCCGGGGCCCGACAACGACCCCCAGAGACCCCAAGAGGCAGAACAAATACTTTCTCGGACCCAGCTCCTCGAGCCTCGCCCCCCTCTTCCTGCTCGCCGGGCCAGGCCACCTCAGAAGCCCGGCCGGCTCTCCGACCTGGATGAAATGACAGTGCACACCCAAACCTGTAGGGCTATGTCGCTCCCATCGTGCTGAGGGGCCACATCCCAGAAACAGTGTCGAACACCCAGAAAAATGCCGAAACAGTGTCGAACGAGTATCGCCTCCCAGGGACCGGCGCGCGAAAACCATCCAGTTTCGGTACTTTCTTGGTGCCCGAAGTTCTTTTTGGTGATCAAGGCGGGAGCAGGTTGGAACATCATAGAACGTCATAACTGTAGGGCGGAGGCATGGGGAAGGGCCAGGCGATGAAGACGCTATACGTATCGGGGTGGGCGCGGGTTGTCCGACCCCGAGGGGGGGCTCCTGCTCGAGCGGGGGCCCCCGTCCGACAACAC